CCAGTGCTCGGGCCTCTGGAGAATCTCCTTTCCCCCTACAGAGGAAAAATAGGCATCCCGTCACACACAAAGACACTGGTTGTGTTGAGATGATATATCGTCAGTGTGGTTCCGAGGAGCTCAAGTATCGGGTTGGCCGAGCTACCTGCTCTCAAGCCTCCCATCCTTGGAACCCTGTCTCCCCCTGAACTAGGTGCACCCAGGAGAAGTAGTTACAGCAGAACCACACAGCAGCACGATCTTTTGAGTCCTAATTCTGCCAGGTACTGTCGCAAGCACATTTCTCTTTTAAACTTCACAAACCAATGAGATAATGATCTATATCATCTTTTTACAGAAGAAAAAAAAATTTTTTTAATTAAAAAATACACCTGAGGCCAAATGCCCCATGGTCCCATTCCTTACTGTGGTAGAGCTGGGCTCAAACCCAACACGCTTTACAGGGCTAACTCTGAAGCTACGTCCGGAGTACCTTACACTGGTATCATGCAATCCCCAAGCTCTGCCATGGCAGATCAAACTGCTTGTTATTTAACTCAAGCACAATGGGAATACAGCCAGGAAAGGAACTCCATTAGATTTAGGACTAGATTTAGATGGTTCTCAAAGTACAATATAAGTAAGTCACCTGGAGTCTTAAAAAAAAAACACACACACACACACACAAAAAAAAGTCTCACTGTGCAGCTGAGATTATATTTTTAAATATAGATACAGTAGTTTGCTGGGCATGGTAATGCAGGCCTGTAATCCTAACACTGAGGAGGCTGAGGCAGGAAAATCAACATGAGTTCAAGGCCAGCTTGGGCCCCAAAGGGAGTTCAAGGCCAGCATAGACTACACAACGAGTAATCTCAAAATACATACATACAGTTAAACCTACCATCCAGAGACTATGGTTAAATACGCCTGGGGTGGGGGCCAAGGTGCTGCTTTTTCTAACAACCTTCTCAGGTAATCCTTGGCCTGCACTTCAAAAACATTACATGGTCAACAATGGTAAGATCTGGAGCTGGAAAGTTAAGAGTGAACCTGAGCTAATGTAGTCAAAGCCACAGGCAGAACCTCTAAATAAATGCCCAGAGTGAGGCAGACATGAGGACACCACAGGGCGAAGTGGGCTTCGAGCTGCTACAACCCCTGGCCACAGTCCATGAGATGTGGCGTCCATGAGATGCCTCCACATGTTTCCGATCAACCTCTACCTTTTCCCATCCTAGTACTGGGGGTTGAACTGAAGGACCCACTGAGATACATCCCCAGTCCTTTTTTGGTGGTCAGTATTTATTTGTTTATTTACTTATTTATTTATTTGATACAGGGTCGTGCTACACAGCTCAGACTTACAGTGATCCTCCTGTCTCAGGATCCCAGCACTGGGATTACAGGTGTGTACCACCACACCTGGTTTAGGGGCATGCGGTACTGGGGGTTGAACTCGGGTCCTCAAGCTCGCCAGGTAGGCCCTTAGACCACTGAGCTATCTCCCCAGCCCAGCCAGCCCTTTTTTTGTCTTGTTTTGTTTTGAGACAGAGTCTCACGCTGTGGTTCAGGTGGTCTTGAAATTATCACGTAATAAGGCTGGTCTTGAATTTGTGGTGATCCTCCCTGCCTCAGCCTCCTAAACTGGGATTACAGAAGTGTGCCACCACACTCAGCTATTATTTTATTTTTGGGATAGACTCTCACTAAATTGCCCACGCTGGGCTTGAACTTGCAATCCTCCTTCCTTAGCTTAGCAGAGGGCTAGGATGACAGGCATATTTCACCACACTTGGCTAGGCCCCCACTCTTTATTCAAGTTAGTTCAATGCAACCAAAACCTCAACAAGAGTTATCAACACAGAAATAAGACAGTTGCTTCACAAAAGCCAATAACCGCCCACAAAGCCTTATTCCAAAGACTTCAATCTCTAACCATTAACAGTAAACAAAAGAATAACTCTACATCTTGAGTCCACTCAGAAAAGTAACCTTCTGACTAATCTCACCCATGTTATCTATAAAACTAAAAAAATTAACCCATCCTCCAAGATGACTAATTTAAGTACCCTTTTTCAAGACTTACTTTATGATTTTCAATTCCTGTAACATTTAACAGTTCCTGTAACATTTAACAGTTCCTGTAACATTTAACATTGTAAAGCTAGACAAAATGTTCTGGGCATAGCCACTCTTGCGCCAAGAGGTTACATGTAGCATGTTCATGTGAATGTTACAGCAGTACCTATAATGACGGCATAAGTGACAACACAAGATAGTCTACTGTTATCACCATCCCCATTAATTATTCTCTTCACCATATATTAATGAGTTAATTTTGATGAATATAGATTTTATAAGTGATAAAGTACATGTTTTCTCAGTGAACTCATTCAGGAAATTGGGTATGACTGTGACCTCCAAATGACTGGCCCTGATGTAGGATCAGATTTGCACTCTTGCCCATATTGGTCTCTGAAACACACCCTCCTGCCTAGAGTATGTCTACCCTTCTTCTGCCAAACTTACTTCATGATACAAGGCAGAAGATTCCTGAGAGCTGGCGTTGCATTCTCAGTCAACAAAAGACTTCTAAGAATTCTAATGGATCTCTCAAGGGGCAAAAGAATTAGGTATTCTCTCATAGCAGAACAGGAAGCATACAGGTTAAACGAAAACTAGACGATCTCAAGACCTTTGACTGCGGTGATTCCAAGAATAGGGTTGGAGGACTGGAGCAGAACAGAAAGTAACTTCCTTTTGACATCATACCCTTCGTAGCCTTTGTTGAGAATGTATTGCATTTATTTTTTAAGACCTAGATACTTATCGGAACAAAGCAACACCTCTTTTATAATCAAAGCAGGTGCCAGAGAAAGAGGGGAAGCTGTGGTGAGGATGTTTCTACAGAAACAATCACCAAGGAAATGTAATTTAAGAATCTTTTATAATTGCTACCTAAGAAGTAACAGCCAGGCAGGGTGATGCATATCTATAATCCTAGCACTCAAGAGGCTGAAGCAGGAGGACTGCCTGGAGTTCAAGGCCAAGCTGGGCCAAGTAGGCCAGGCTGGACCAGTTCAAGGCCAAGTGAGTTTCAGGCCAGCCTGAACAGCATAGTGAGACCCTGTCTCCAAAAAAAAGTAGTGCTGGGAAAGGAAAAATAAATCCTTCCTCAGGCCTCTCCCCTTTCTCACATACACCTGCAGGGGTCTTGTCATAGCTAGCCACAAAAATTATTTTCTTCCTGTGTCTAGAAACAGATAGGTCACAAACAGCCGCATTCAACCTATAGGGATTGAATTCTCTATGTTCCTACAGGAAAACAAGAGGGGAAGAGGTGCAAAAAAAAAAAGGCATTAAATACGTACTGTCTTCGCAGATCTGCCAATTTAGAAGTCAGAGCAGATATTTCTCCAAGGGAACGCAGGATGTCATCTCTCTCTTTAGGATCATCACACAACTCTGCTATTCTCCGAGCTTCAGCCAAAGCACCTCGAATCTGTTCTTCTCCTTCCGGTCCCCCATTTGGATCTGCAAGCCAATTCTACACACAGAAGTGAGCCACCTGGCATCTACTCACTAGCCACATCTAAGTGAACTTCATCTGTGCCCCAGAAGGCATGCGTGTGCCAGGAATCATTCCTGAAGTGCTAATACTGTTTAGTTGAGGTTCTCAGCTCACGTAAGAACAAACTGTCCCTTTGGTTTGTTTGTTTGTTTGTTTGTTTATTTATTTATTTATTTTGCAGTACCAGGGATTGAACTCAGGACCTTGCACGTGCCAGGCAGGCGCTTATGGCGGTGAGTTATATCCCTGGCCCTCCCTTTGTTTTTGGCTGCAGGGAACCACACCACACCCTAGCCCTTCCTTCTTTATCAGAATAAACTATATTCATGAACTTTACCTCATCTTTGAATTAGTGAGGAACTTTTCTTTTTGGGGTACTGGTGATTTAACTCAAGGCACTGCACATGCTAAGGAAGTCTCTACCACTGAATACATTCTCCAACCCTTTCCATAGCATTTCATTTTTTTGTTTGTTTGTTTGTTTTCATTTCACTTTGGGACCAGGTCCTGCTAAGTTGCCCAGGCTAGCCTTGAACTTGCAAACTTCCTGCCTCAGACTCCCGAGTAGCTAGGATCACAGCTAGGCTTGTGCTGTGCTGTCCAGCTCTAGGAACATTTCTCAAGCATCTCAACATTTGTCATTGTGAAATGCTTTAAAATCATTTAACATACAGTACAGTCGGAAAAATGTAACCCTTGAACTCTGCTATGACCACATATAGTTATGAATTCTGAAACAAGGGACAGTTTCAGTACTACCATCTACATCAGGAGCGAGGATTCTCTTTGTATCCCGGGGCTTGTTTTTAACTCACTGAAGGACTCAGAATTAAGACTTGTATTTCAAAATATAGATGAACATTCATCTAAACCTGCAATAGTAGGGAGGGGTTGGCATTCCTAACTGCACAGAATCAGTCACTCTGCCACCAATGAGGAATACCCATTATCCACCCACAGTAAATAACGGGGGTGCAGGACATTTATGGAACACTCTCTCCTCCTTCCAACACCCCTGGAAATCACTGTCACTACCTGAGCAGCATCGATCTTCTTTGCAATGCTCTGCTTTGAGTTTGTCATGGCTTCCAGCTTGCGAGCTGCATTTTCCACTTTTGCCGTGAGCACGTCCAGACCTTGGGACACCTGCTGGGCTTTCTGCATCGCCACCGGAGAGGCTCCTTGTCCTCTGCTCAGACAAACAGATGCTGTCACTGTACCCTCTCAGATACTTCACAACAACACATTCCCAACACCGGAGTGCCCGTCATTAACACGCCTGTCTTCTTGCTCGTCTCTCATTAACACGCCTGTCTTCTTGCTCGTCTTGGAACTCTCGGGCAGCACACAAAGCCACGGCTGAACGAGACGCAATCCATCTCCTTTCTCTCCACGTTTAAAAATATGCATTCGCTTTACAGAAATACATAGCCACTTTAAAGTCAAGACAGCAAATTTTGATAATTATGCTTTTCTAGGTGGTGATTATATAACCAAATCTAAACTTCAGTTGGCAAATGTGCTCAAGATCTTATTGCTGTAGAGGGCTGTGTTACCATAGTAATGTGTGCTTTAGAAATAAGTAGCCCATTAAATTGTCTTATTTATGGGTGAGCATACTATGAAAATTCTTCCTGAGGCAGCATACACAGTGTCACCAAAGACACACCACACATCTAGAGATCAAGTAGATTTGCACTCACACACTAAATCTTGGTATTCATGCGACTCCTTCAAGATGCTTAACTCCACTGGACTCTATAGTTGTTTGGTTTTTTTCCTTTCTTATACAACAGAAACAACTTACCACTGAAGGTAGGCAACAATAAAGCACTATTCCACTTATTTAACAGAGCAGCCTCAAACATATACTTGAGAACACTTTGACAATAAAGCAATACAATTATTACAAACTACAGCTACGGCTGAATTATCATCACTTAAAATGAACCTAATGGTAATCCTAACAGACTATTTTCCTAGACAACCTACAAATTGTTTCCCATCAAGTTCCTAAAGAACTAATTTCACTATTTTCCTCTCTCAAAATGGCTTGCCACCACTTTCAAGAAGCATTATGAGAGTTAGTAGAAACTTTCAAATCATAAAGTACAAGTTGCTATCTTTTTTACTAACTGAATTTTTTTTCAGCTCTTTCTGTCATCCGGCCAAAATGTCCAAAGGGAAGAAGGCCAAGGGCAAGAAGAGGGCCCTGGCCCCTGCTGTCGTGAAGAAGCAGGAGGCCAAGAAGGTGGTAAATCCCGTTTGAGAAGAAGTCAAAGAATGTCGGCACTGGACAGGACATCTAGCCCAAGAGAGACCTCACCCGCTTTGTCAAATGGCCCTGCTACATCCGGCTGCAGCAACAGAGGGCCATCCTGTACAAACGGCTGAAGGTGCCCCCTGCGACTTACCAGTTCACCCAGGCCTTGGACCACCAAACAGCTACCCAGCTGCTTAAGCTCGCCCAAAAGTACAGACCAGAGACCAAGCAAGAGAAGAAACAGAGGCTGTTGGCCTGGGCAGAGAAGAAAGCTGCTGGCAAAGGGGATGTCCCCACTAAGAGGCCACCAGTCCTCAGAGCAGGTGTCAACACTGTCACCACTCTAGTAGAGAACAAGAAGGCTCAGCTCATGGTGACTGCACATGACGTGGACCCCACTGAGCTGGTCGTGTTCCTATCTGCCCTGTGTCGCAAGATGGGGGTCCCTTAACTGCATCATCAAGGGGAAGGCCAGGAAGGGGCATCTGATCCACAGGAAGACCTGTATATACCACTGTCTCCTTTCACAAGTCAACTCAGAAGACAAAGGCGCGCTGGCTAAGCTGGTGGGGGCCATCAGGACCAACTACAAAGACAGACATGATGAGATCTGCTGTCACTCAGGAGGCAACGTTCTGGGTCCAAAATCTGTGGTTCATATTGCCAAGCTGGAGAAAGCAAAGGCTAAAGAGCTAGCCACTAAACTGGGCTAAGTGTACTCTTGAGTTTTCTATACATAAAAACAATAAATTGTCTTTAATCCAGTGAAAAGAATTTTTTTTTAATCTATCCAACGTGGAAACTCAAGCACAGGAATGGTAACATTATCATTTGAGAGAAAGACACAGCATATTGTAATCTGAGCCTCCAGCTTTTTTGTTCTGCTTTGATTTTTAGTCTTTTTTTTTTTTTTTTTTTTTTTGAGTCAAGGTCTCACTATGCAGTTCAGGCTAGCCCTGAGCTCACTTTGTAGCGTAGGCTGGTCTCAATCTTCCAACCATCCTCCTGCTTCAGCCTCCCAAGTGCTGGGATTATAGGCTGTTTTGTTGTGGGGTATTTTTTTTTTGTTTTGGTTTGGTTCTTTTAAATATTTTATTTATTTGGTACAGGGTTTCACTACACAGCTCAGACTTATAAGGAATCCTCCTGTCTCAGCCTCCCCAGCGCTGGGATTACAGGTGTGCCCCACCACACTCAGTTTTGGTGGCCAGCACAGCACACAGTACTAGGGATCAAACCTGACTCCTTGTGCTTGCCAAGCAGGCGCTTAGACCAGTCCTTTGTATCTTTTTTAAAACCATGTATGTTTCCTCTACAACAATACTTGAGATAATGAACTCCATAAATATATTGTCAAACATATGAATATACCTTTTATCAGACTTGAGGCAGAAGTCCTGCCATAATAACAAAAGACTTTCATGAAACATACTATTTATGATTTAATTGGCCTTTACCCCTTCAATTATAGTAAATCGTGATGAGAAATCATTTGATATATTAGTCCAACTGTGAAAAAGAAAAGTATGTATGGACTACCTTTTTTTTTTTTTTTAGGGAAGGGTCTACAAGGTGTTCAGGGTCTCGCTACTAGATCAGACTCGTAGTGATTCGCCTGTTTACAGCCTCCCAAGAGCTGGGAATACACGTGCACGCCACCACACCCCCCAGTCTCAACTGTCATCTCAGCATGCCCCAGGGGCAGGGCTGGCATGGCAGGCCCAGGGATGGCAGGCCCAGGGATGGAACCCCCAGCCCCTGTACCTGCTTGCAGGTGCTTTAATCCGCTGAGCTGTTTGGCTGGCCCCGTATGGACTAGCTTTAAAATAACTATTGAGTCTCACAGAGGTAAAAACATTCTACAATCTAGAATCTCTTCATGAGTAGAAGAACGACAGTGAGTAAAATGTTGCGTGTCAGCCACTGAAATGATAACTAACTGGGTATATTTAAGAAATAATAACAGAAAGAGCTTTCTAATCTTTCATTGTGAAATTGAAGAATCCACTGTGACGCAGGCCCAAAGCTGCTCATCACTGTTCTAGCCTTTTCTCTGTACAGATTAATGGTCAACCCCAGGCAACAACGACCTCATTCTCTTGCTCATCTTCGGCTCTCTAAACACACACAACTGTATTTGAGAATTCCAATGGAAAACTGCCTACTGCGCTATGAAAAGGCTTCCAACAAAAGAGGCAGAAATGAGAAATTAGAAGAGCCAAGAATCTTGTCAAGCTCACTGGCATTTCTCCAAATGGGAACAAACTTCTTTTTGTCCCTTCAGCAAAGTTCTTGTCATGAGCATGACAAGTGAGACTGATTCTCGGCAGAAAAACAATTCACTGTGCTCAATGAAGCCATATTTATTCAAGCTTCTTCTTTTTCCTGTTCAAGATAACAATGCAACCTGCACTCCTGAAGCTTGTAGGGCTACGCTGGACTCACAAATCCAAAGAAATTAGGCTATTTCATGGGCATCTTCACTGTATTTTTTTTAGGTGATAATGAATGCTTTCATCACATTATAAAAGTGATCTTGGGGGGCTGGGGTGATGGCTCAGTAGAATATGCGCTTCCCTGGCAAGCGCAAGGCCCTGAGTTCAATCCCCGGTTCCACACACACACACACAAAAAAGTGATCTTGGTCCAAAGGAGGTTAACACATTCCCACCAGCTTGAGCCACTATTGGTAAACACATGACAGTCTCTTGAGGTGGCGTGTACCAGCCAATGCCACTGTCCCACACTGCCTGATGGGACAGTCGTCCATGCAGCACTGGTGGTTCAGAGCCACCTGGCAGTAAGACATACGAATTACAGTCCTGTCATGAATGTGTTAAGAACTTCTCCCTTAACATCTGTATTCTTATGAGGGAGAAATTTGTGACCCGGTTTGTATGGACACCCTCGGTATTCCAATGGTGTCAACAATTTGCACGACATTCTCAAAGCAAAATTAAACTTTATTTATACTAGTATCTCCACACACTCCAATTTTATGTTTGTATCATAGAAATATGATTTCATTCTCATAAAAATGAGAATCCTTTAGCACTTCATTAACTCCATGCATGAATTTTAAATCTGTATTATATCGAGCTCTCAATAGCAAACAACATACATTTACTTAGCGTACAGAAGGAGTTCTAAGAGTCAAAACTTGAGCAGAGTAAAGGGAAGGTAAAAGAATTATAAAACCAAGTAAGTAATGGTGAAACACAAACTCGAAAGAGCCCAGATACTGCTATCTTAGAAAGTAATCGGTTTAAATGATCTTTGAAAACAAATGAAATAAGTTCCAAGTTTTCGCTCTTCATGCTGCCTTCTATCCATCCTGTATAGAAGACATCTAACCATGCCAGGCTTCCAACACGCTCCTTAATGTTTGTAAGTCTATGCAAACAACTAAAACAGAAAATTTCTATTTCAGTTATAAAATAAGTTCCAACTTTATTATTAAGCATCCGAAGTTTCTTTTGTTGGTTTGTTTGTTTAGGACAGGGTCTCACTATATAGTCTAGGCTGGCCTTGAACTCACTATGTAGCCCAGACTGGCCTCAAACTCGCACAGATCCTTCTGCCTCAATCTTCTGAGTGCTGGGGTTATAAGTGTGTACTACCACTCCTGGCAACGTCTGTATAATTCGTTCAGAAGTTCGGGGAAGAACTCACCGCAGAACAATAACATAAAACCTGTGTTATATATTATCCAAAGATAACTCAATAAAACCAGTACGGACCTGCTCTCTAAATCACCCCCTGAGAAGTGAGGGACTTGTTAGCGTCCGTCAGAGCAGAGGAACTTTACCTGGCTCGGAGGTCAGCCACCTGATCAGTCATCTGCCCTAGCATTTTGCATGTTCCCAGGATCTCCCTGCGTTCCTTGCCTGCACAGAGCTCACCAACTTTTCCAGCTTCATCTAAGATCTGCCTGATGGCCTGCTCACCGGCGTCCCCTAAAATAAAAAGATACTCGATATCAACATTGTAGACACATTAATTATTTAGAAGACACTCTAGCAGTCTTTTCATTCATGAAGGAATCGATGACCTTACATGAGAAGGCAAGGGACCAGAAGGGACTCCATCCGGCAGCTCACAGCCAAGCCCTCCCTGCCCTTATGACCCTAGGGGAAGGTCTCAACCACAGATGCTGTTAAAAAGTGATGCAAAGGCTGGGAACACAGCTCAATGGCACAGTGCCTGCCTGGCAAGCACGAGGCCCTGAGTTTCATTCCCAATACAAAAAAAGAAGATACAGAACATCAGTACATCCCCAACTTGCAGAGTTCCATTCTGGGAGAACTGAATCTTACACAGCACACTGATGCAAGTGCCCAGCTCAAATGTTCCTAAGTCAGAGACTTTCTGCCCTTGGAACCATACCCATCGGGAGAAACTACTCAGCAGTGGTTAAGAATATGGGTGATGAAAACAGGCTCTAACAGTTTCTCAGTACTCAGCACTCCAACCTCCACTAGGCTTTGCACATTCACTCAAATATTAATCTAAGGCCGAATAAATACTAAAGCAGGAAATCCGTAAAGCCAAATTTAATAACCTAACTTAGGTCTTATCTTTATATAGTCAACTCTGCTTGCCAATTCTTATTGGCATCAGTACTTGAGCTACTTAATTAAGTACTATGTTGACATAAATGAAAGTTTGGCCAATAGCAGAGAAGACTTTTCATTCAAAATAATCATCCTTCTGATTCAGGAAATGAGTGAAGAATGCCCAGCTCAGCTTCATTTATGCCTCCCGGATGAGAGACAACACGGTGGGTGTCTTCATTCTTTGAAGGCCCACTAAAGTTTCATTCAGTCCAAACTACCAGAGGGTGGCGTGTGTTCCAGAAAGTTCCAGCAGTCAGCAGATTATGAAAAGCAGAACTAAAGGGTTACCTGGGGAGGCACTGGGGTCACGAAGCCAACCTTTGGCCTGGTTCAGTTTGGAGTCTATGGAGGCAAGCGCTCTCTTCATGGCTTCAGTGTCCTTTGGAAGAGAAATCCCACAATTATTCTCTCTGCAAAAATTAAAACACCACGATGCAAAGTACAGAAGTCGCTGCGTCACTAACGCCACAACGACCGGGGTCCTGCGAAGGCCTTCAGTATGGTCATCACATCACAATCCTTATTTCTGTCAAAATGCAGCACCTTACATGCAAATCTTCAGTTCATTCTACTCTGTTGCCTGATATCTCCATTGGTAAAACTGAGAGCTGGTAACATCGCTCAAGCCAAAAGATGTTTAACGTCTGCAGCAGAAGAAAGCCCTTTTGTCACATGCCTCGTTATCAGCCTTTCTGCGAGGCGACATCCATCTACCACAGCCTTACCGGGGCCCTCCCAGCTTCAGACAAGCCTCATTAGTATGTGGTGCCACAAATCACAGCTCCCCTCCACACACTCTGAAATACACACACACACTGGATGATGTTTCACGATATTAATCTCAAATGCTTGGGATTACTGGTTGGAAAGAGAAATTGAACGTGTTAATGTAGCAGTTTTGTTTTAATTGTAACAAGTAAAGCATTAAGTGTTATGCAAGGAGGGCGTGTACTGCTGGTCCTTCCTACCACTCTCCATTCTCACATGAATACCTTTCTTAGTACCCGTCTAACCTGGAAGAGAGGGCAAGATGTAACAAAATGGGTCTTGATTCATTGTTCACAAGTATGATTCATAATAAAGAATGTAAAACTAATATAAAATATCCTGGGATACAGCTAGAAGACAACAGATTAACCCATTTTTAAGAGGCTACTTATTTTTGACCAAGCACAATGGTGTATGTCTATAATCTCACCTACTTGGGAGGCTGAGGCAGGGTGACTGAAAATTTGAGAACTGGGCAGTTTAGTGAAATACTGCCTAAAAAGTAAAAAATGACATTGAGCTGGGTGTGGCAGCACATATCTGTAATTCCAGTACTATGGGAGGCTGAGGCAGAGGGTCACAAATTCAAACTCAGACTGGGCAATTTGTTTTTTGGTTTTTGGGGGGTTTTTTTGTTTTTATTTTTGTTTTTTTGGTGGAACCGGGGATGGAACTCAGGCCCTTGCACTTGCCAGGGAAGCACTTATTCCACAGAGCCATCTCCCCGGCCCTTAGACTGGGCAATTTGGCAACTAAGACCCTGTCTCAAAATGTAAAAAGGGCCGGGGGGAGGGGGAGTGTTAGCTCAGTACAAAGACCCTGGGTTCAATGCCCAGTGTGAGGCCCTGTTCAATATGGAGCATATGTATTCATTTTTGAAACAAAAAACGCAAGAACAATACAGCAAATACTCATGCACCCATTATGAAAGGGATACAATGACAATCTCCTAAGCATACATTTAACATTTTAAAAGACAGATTGTCTCCTTTTTGCTCTAGGGAAATGATCCATCAATGCACAGAGCTAACCTCTGAAATTCTAGGTAATGTCCTACAATCCCTAACTTGGGTATCTAATCCTGTAGAGTCCTAGTTCTTAAGGGTGTTGTACTGCAAATTTTCCACAAGGGGGCGGCATCTGCATCCTAGCTGCCAACTCAAGGGAGATAACCAACCAAAGTACTTGCTCTATAAGGACTCTTGAGCTTTAGGCTTCCTTCTTCTCCACTCTAAACAGATACAGACTATTCACTTGTTCTAACCTTAATTCTCAGCCAGAGGGGGAGAAAAATGAACTAAATTATTGGAGGGAAATTAAAATATTATCAATACCTGAAATTATGATAGCTATGAATTAAGGGCGGCATCCGTAGCCAGGCACAATGGCGCACACACACAAACCCAGACACTCAGAAGAACGAGGCAGGAGGACCAGGAATCGCAGACAAGCCTGGGCAACTATTAAGACCTTGCCTCAAGATAAATGTAAAAAGCTGATGTAGCTCAGTATGAAGGCCCCAGGTTCAACCTCCAGGGCCAAAAAGAAAGAAAGAGTTGGGTGGTGAAAAAATCTATTTCAAAATCCACTTGTAACTGGTACAGGTGGACAAGTAGTAAGTACCCCCCCCCCAAGGGATGGAGCTGATTTGTTTTGTTTGAGATGGGATTTCTGCATCAGCCTCCCAAGTGCTGGGGTTACAGGTGTGCCACCACACTCGGTGACAAAGCATTTTTTAAGTGCTTTGATTCTCACATGATTTAAATATCTGTTCTGTTCATCCATCTTATTTTACATTAATTTGTACAGTGAACCTGACCTCCAAAACTAATGTAAAGCTTTATTCCAAATTAGCAAGACCCTGGCTTTGAGCTCTTGGTAACCCTCTTGTCTCAGCTTCCTCCTGAGTGCTGGGATTACAGGCAAGCCCCAAATCAGCATCTTTTTAAAAGACAATCTTGAGGGCTGGCCAGATGGCTCAGTGGACTGAAGCACCTGCTTAGGCCAAGCACAGCAGCTGGAGTTCGATCCCAGGCAGGCTGTGCTGGCCCGGCTCCTGGGGCACACTGAGACAGCCATTGAGACTGGGCCTGGTGGTGAGCGCCTGTAATCCCAGCTCTTGGGAGGCTGAAAACAGCAGAATCACTGAGTCCAATCTATGTAGTGAGACCCTGTAGGCCCTGTACTAAATACTTAAAAATAAATAAATGAAAAATAAAAAACAGGGAACTGGGGATGGCTGTGCTTATTTGGGCTTTGGTTAATACAGCCCAGAAAATAAGCCCCAGAACTGCTCATCCTCTGATGTCTCAAAATGACTTGAAATGCAACAGACATCAGCTTTGCTCTGCTCCACATCCTCAGAAATCATTTCTTTCCTTTTTTCTTTTTCTAATAAGCTCAAATGATCCCAGGATTTCAAGGAAAGAATGATTCTCAGCAAGTGAATAACAGACTCCTGAGCGGGCTGTTAGCCACACAAGTGAAAACCAAGAGGTGCTCTTTTTCACCTAAAGAGAATCAATGGAAATGGAGAACGGAGGTGCCTTTCACAATTGAGGGTTTCTTACACTAACAAATGAGCTATATGCAGCTTATGATAATTTAAGCATAATTTCATGGAATAAACTATAGATTGAAAAAAAAAAAACAATTGAGGGTTTCAATTAGTTACCAATTGAGTTTTTCTTTAGCAGGGAGTGGTCTTTTGAGACAGGGTCTTACTATGTAAGACTCAGGTTGGTCCCCAACTCACAGCAATCCTCCTGTCTCAACCTCCCCAAGTGCTGGGATTCAGGTGTGTACCACCACATCCAGATAGTTACCAGTTTTTAATACATCAATTTTAGGTAAATTTGAAGATTTAAAGCTGTCATCATCAAAAAAAAACTGTCATTGAAAGGGCCATTTTAGATTTTCTTAAAGCAGTTCATAACAATCATTTAAACAATGTACAATGTCATATCTATTAAAAGTTTTGATAGGAAGCAATATTTTGGTCTCTAAAAATGTTGCATATATTTCTTTTGAAAGGCAACACAATACAATTGATAGAATTCTGCTGTAAGCCACATAAGTACACTAATATTAGATATGACAAAGATAATTCATTAAACATTAAGGCTTAGAGGTCAGTTTGGAGATACATATATTTATAAAGGATCAAAATAATTATAATCCTGTCAATCATACCACGTACCACAAACATTTTGTTAAACTTCTAAGTATAAGTACCGAGAATACAATCTGAATGAAACAAAATACTGCCCCCTTCCATATTCTTCTCTATAAATACTCAAATTTAGAAAACAAGCTCACCACCAGTTTCTGGTGTGTTCTGGGTAGGTTTTGTTTTAAGAGTGAGGAGAAAAAGCCCAGACACATCTCCATGATAGCTGACTGGTATCTATCTGATCTCCCGACCCTGTTCCTTTCACCCGGAAACTATTCTCAGATCAAGTTTAAAATTAAAAAGCAGTGTCTTGGTGCTCCCCCTCATACCAGAGGTGGAAGAACAGCTGGAAGAAGCCCTTTCTACATTTCCTCAGGAGCTGAAACATTCCTAAAATGCAAAATATGCTTGGGTCTGCACACCCATAATTTCTTCATATTGCATATATGAAAGAAAAAAAGTGATTTTTCTACACTCTCTTGATCAAAAAGAACACCTGTGAATAACAGTGAGCTCCTCCTACAGATAATCAAGAGGAAGTATCACTGAGTCCCAGGATTCAAAATCAAAAATACAGGAAACAAGGACCAGCTCCAGGAGTGGCCAACCCGTTTCCCCTTCTTCCACGAACCTCTCCTCACCACTCCATCCCATTTCTGACCACATTTCCACCAGCATGCTCCTGAAAAGAACTCAACAACGAGAGCGAAGTGCCCCATCCTGTGACCTCAGCGTGTCACCTTTTCTGGCCTCTCCATCCCTTCTCATCTCTGAGAATACCTTCCCAACTTTAAAAACCCAGGCCACTGACAGGTACAAAGCGGTGCACCAGCTGAAGATAACCGAGCTCAGGCAGGGCTTGTCAACTCCTGCCACACATGGTTGGGGCATTTTCTCCGTGTTAGAAGTGGTGGTGGGGGGGGGGAGACCACTGTAAGTGCCCGAATGAACTACTTAGCCAAATCTCCTAAACTCTTTCTTTCTATTAGCTGGTTTAAAACACTAGAATAGTCATACAATCACACACACACAAACTAATTTTTCAAAACTGACTGAATAAAATTCAACCTTTAAGTCCCAGTGGCCTGGCCCACGGTAACAGCTATATGACAAGCCCGCACAATGCCACTAGCCCCTCCCTTGGGAAGGCGCCATGGTCCTCCTGAGCCTGTGGAAGGCCTCTCGCCACAACTGACTTTGATGTTAGCTCCTGACTCAGTGCAAAGCTGTAGCAGCAGCTATGTGGCATCCAAGAAGCTTTAGCAACGAGATTTTGCTTAATATTTTTCTCTCATTTCTTCTTAATTCCCCGCATGCACTAAGACGCAAGGACTATACATTTAAAAAGATGAGGTATAGCACCTTTACAAAGGAGTTAGAATTGTGTTTTACTCAGATTTTCTTGGTTAGTAATGTATTCCCAGAGAAAATGCTAATTTGATTTTTAATGATCATTATATTATAAACTGGTTGTTTACTTAGGAAGGGAACAGTGTTCACATTCAAAAGAAATACATGGTAGGGCCGGGGAGATGGCTCAGTGGAATAAGCGCTTCCCTGGCAAGCACAAGGGCCTGAGTTCGATCCCTGGTTCCGCAAAAAAAAAAAAGAAATACATGGGGCCGGGGAGATAGCTCAGTAGAATAAGCGCTTGCCTGGCAAGCGCAGGGTCCTGAGTTTAATCCCTGGTATCACAAAAGAAGAAAAAAAGAAAGAAAGAAAGAAAGAAAGAAAGAAAGAAAGAAAGAAAGAAAGAAAGAAAGAAATCCAGTGTCAAAGTTACTTTTTCGACAGTTCTGAGGACTGAAAGCAGAGTGTCCCACACGCCAGGCCGGTGCAGCTCTACCACTCAGCTACCTCCATGGTCCAACGCTTTTAAATTTACAAATCTGCAATCTGAATATAGGTAATGTTATGGTTTGCGTCTAAGTGTCCCCCCAAAGCCTCTTGCACTCTTGGGGCGGCTTCTGGAGTTTGTGATTGATTATTGTGGGTGTGGAGGCTGCACCTGCCCTGGGACAGGTAATCTGCATTACAATGCAAGGTGGGAAGAGAAGCCAGCTGCTGGCCTATGGCCACTCCTCCCTTTGTGCTCTCGCTCTTTTCCACCTCCAAGAAAAGTTGCTTACCTTCCTTCATTTTGAGTGTTGGGTATTTGTCCCAGCAAGGAGAGAAGAGTAACTAAGACAGGTATGAAAGGTAAAATAGTTGGCTACTGCATCACCTCTTTAAAATCTGAGCTTGATGGGCAAGATTCATGTTCATCAGGAATCTGTTCCACTGACTTCCTTCCCCCACTTTTCTACAGGAACCATCGTTCTCCAGAACACTGCACCAACAGGGAAGCAGCACTGTACACAAAGTTAACTGTACTTGGGTAGGGGCGAGAGGAGGTGAGAGAGAGGAGGTGAGAGACACTGTATGCACTGAACAGAGCAGGAACCCGGAGGACAAGGACACACCCACGACATCTGAGAAACCACAGCTTACTGCTGAGCAGCCAAGAGGCGCAGTCCTATTAAAGTGAAAGTAACCAACAAAATGTCCATTTTCAAGATAAAAATTCTCAGGGGCTGGAGAGATGGCTCAGTGGTCTAAAGCACCTACTTGGAACAAGCTTGGCAAAGCACAGGGACCACGGTTTGATCCC